AATCGTGTGATCAGTGAATGGATGTGAACGGAGTTGCTTCCGTCCTGATGAGACGCGCTACACCGGCGCATGCGTAAGCAGGATCACGAAACACAAGCGGAGGGCTCTTGTGAACACGATAATGAACCTTCGGGTTCCACAAAATGCTCGGAAATTCTTTACTAACTGCACAACTGGCGGCTTCTCAATAAGGGCTCAGGTCGATAAGTAAGTAACATAGGATGAAGACGTATTTGGGAGTGGAGGTATAGCTCCACCGTTGACCTCCGCACCAGATGGAGATGCGTGGTTAACTTCACAACACGATTTTACCCCCTGGGAAACAGCCCTCGGTACTGTTTGGGTGTGTCCCATAGCCGGTCTGGATGCAAAGGAATACAGAAAAATATCTTGCCCCTACTGGAAATCAAACCCTGACCCTCTAGACTCGTAGCTATTCTGACTAAGCTCCAGAAAGGTTACGTAACTTTAACAAATTCCTATACAAAACAGGAGAACGCAGTAGGCTGTTGTATTATAATAAACAGAAGTGAAATATCCAAATATTATAACGGATCTGGACACTACGATCACTTTCGGGGATAGTTTTCTTTCGTGGTCACTCCCTACTTGGAGATAACTCGCAGACCCTGAATGCCATCAAGGGCTGCATAACACCGGGGGCAGTTAGAATACGGCGTAGCGATGAAGGGCGCCGTACTGATGGTATGATTGCTAAATGTAGCGTTCTGCAAATGTACGAACAGCCTTAGCAGCAGCAGCAGGACTTACATGAAGAACTGTACAGGACACAAAACGTGTATTTCGCTCCTCTTTCCATCTCCTACCCGAAACACGTTTCGCTCTGACAAACATTCAGCGAGTTACGCTCAAGATACGCAGAGAAATGCTCGTACGTACGTCTTCGAGTGAAGCGTTCGGCATTGTCCGATATGAATCCAAACTGAAACCACTCGACGCTTTTTTTTTTCGTAAAATTGTCTGATAGGAAATTTCATGAAAATTCGTTCGGCCGTTCACGAAGTGTTTCGTGCGTACTGACAAGAGCGGCCCAACCTGACCTTAACAGCCTCTCCGCGGGGTTGTAAACACATAAGCCGCAAAAGCGATAATTCCCGCAGACGCCCGTCTCATAACTAACTCGGCGTTACTAGGCAACGGTTTACAACAATGGGGGCTCCTTTGCCCCACCTGGTACGCCCGTCTGCCACGACCTCCGGCGAGTTTGTTTCCCAACTGTTGGGGGCTCCTTTGCCCCACCTGGGACGCCCGTCTGCCGCGACCTCCGGCGATTTTGTTTCTCAACTGTTATGTCCAGACTTGCTACTCTGGGCTCCCCTACGCTCCAGACTCGGACCGACTGGCTTGTGTTTCGATTCTCCACATACAGCCTCTGCTCGGACCCAACAGAAAACACCGTCCCTCTGCTGATGTGGGTGACGAGGAACCATGTGTTCCACTGTAGTGGCACTGAAGGTATGGCAACACAGCTTCACACAGGTCTCCTACTGTTGCGTGACGTCATTTCTGTCGCGGTGACGATGTGTTTAACGAACCGCTCCCTAGCAACGGCCATTCCCTTGGCTCCGCTTTTTCGCCTTTCAGGTGTAATATAACAATATATAAAGAAGCTTTGAAAGCATGAAATTCAACAAATTGTCGACTGTCAACACGTTGCAGGAGCGTGGGCTATGTAGTACGTCACGAAACTGTAGTCCGTTTCATTATATCGTCTCTACTCTGTGAACAGTGACACACTGTGACGTGGGATGTCAAGTGCAGTATACTACATAGAAAAGAGAGGATACACAACTGACTATTTGTGTTGTTATTCGTGGGACATGGCGTCAAACGTCCGCGTCAACATATCATTCGATTATGGACTGGAAAGGAAGTTAATAGTTCGAACGCTTATATAACACATGATGAGAGTTCTCGATGACCTTTCAACAGTCTCACATCAGTTCTGTACATTTCGTTCGTCCTGTTCGAATATAAGATTTCAGAGAAGACTCTTAACTTGCAAAGGGTGCGTGTGTGTATAACAAACCTTATACGGCATTAACGCTCTAAAGCCCAGTGGCCACTATATACCATGGAATTTAATACATAAAACCTCTGCATTCTGCCCACACATTATAGTTGTGAATTCTCATTACAAACAAAGGAGCCTGGATAGCTCAGTCGGTATAGCGACTGGCTATGAGCTGGCCGACCGAGGGGTCGGTGTTTGAGTCCCGGTAGGGTCAAGAATTTTTTCTTCACCACGTCGTTTGGTGCCCACCCAGTCTCCTATCCAATGGGTACCGGGGGTAAAGCGGCAGGGGCGTGAAGATAACCACTCACCTAACACTAGTGCCGAGGTCAAGAAAATGAGGATCTATACATCCACACCCCCATACGCCTTCATGGCGTAGTGTTTAATCAGTTAAGCACAGGGACAACTTTACCTTTCTTTTACCTTACTCATAATAAACTGTGAGAACCCCACGGAACACATAAATACACCTGGTTTACTGTGTTGCAGCTGGTGATTTATACAGTAACCACTTGGCTGTAAATCGTTAATGTAACGTTGCACAATTCTTAAAAAAAAAATGGGAAGCACAGGAAATGGATGGCAACATTACGTTTTTTGAGTTCATAACGCTGTCATTATCTAGATTTATAGCCTTAAATTGCTGGAAGCATTCTCAAAGATGAACTGAGCAGGATTTGGAAGGAAACGGCCGTGGTCCAATCGAAATGTCATCCATGACTTGCCTGTAGGGGCTGAGGAAAACCACGAAAAACTCAGTCAAGATACAGAGGGGCCCGGCGGAGATTCAAACCGCGTATCTCCCGAATACGTATGCCAAGCCGGCCGAATGGAAGAGTATATGGCACCAGAGCGGGCAGCCACTCCTGGATATGGACGCAAACGAACTTCCGTGCCACGGAGACCCATACAAGCTGGATGGACCTGCAACACACCTGTGGCGCTCCTGTAGCCTGGGATTTGTCTACATCGAAATGCGTAGCCGAACGCTGATTTCCTCGATTCCCTTTACAAATCACGGGCATGTGCAACAACACGAGAACCTCCATTAAGTGACAACCTTTGGGCAGCCGCACACCAACTGCGTCAAGAGAAGCATCAAGAAATGAGACAAACTTTTCAATCTTGCTTCATTCGTGATTCAGACTCAAGTCCGCACAATGAAGTAGCCCGTGTCTGCGTCATCACATCTTCTCTAGCTGACGACATGACGTGATGCTGATAACGTACACTGGTGCTGCTCCTTGAGTACTGATGTCTGAGTCCTGACGCACAGAAAAGGAACATGCGGAGTCTTGCTGCACGTGTCTGCAGCATGAAGCTGACGTCAGCATCATGACTCAGACCGGTGTGACGCTGCTCTCATAATCTCATTCGTTTCAACTGTGCTCCTTTCTTTGCGTCATGTCGCAGACATCGTGTCTTGATTGTTAGATGTACTGACGCATGCCGGTGTGCGGCCTACCTTAAAGAACTGCAATGGGATCAGAAAGGAGATGATGTTAAGTCACGTGTGAGGACCTAACATGCCGTCACTCGCGATTAGTAACACGCGCTTTCCTTGCCGCGTTCTCGGAGAGCTGGAATGCGAAAACCTCTTTGCACTGGGAGAGAGAGCATCGGCCCGAGAGCAGAAAAAACGAAAGCAGGTATAAATCTCGTAAATGGAAACATCAAGGATTTGTCGCTTGTTTGTAACACGCACGCGCGAGAATTGTGTGCAGTGAACTGCGCCCAAACACACACACTTAAGTAACCAGTAGGCAGCAGTCACTATCCCTTTAGGTCTCACCTGACTCTATAAACCCTGAGGTTCAGTTAACTCACTCAAGGAGCTCAGCCCTTCTTCAGAAGCCGCCAATTGTGCGGCTACTCATGAACTTTCCAGCATTTTATGGAACCCCAAGGTTCATTACCGTGTTCACAAGAGCCCTCCAGTGATCCATATCTGGAGCCAGATCAATCCAATCTATACAATCCCATCCTATCTCTCCGAGATCCATTTCAATATTCTTCACCAACGTACGCATTGGTCTTCCCAGGAACTTCAGTGAAACAATAACTATAAATTCAGTTCCTACCTCACAGAAAACACGCTGTCTTAATTACGAAAACCTGCAGGTGCTACATGTAGTAACCACTGCGTTTAAGATCACAAGGATACGTACTAGTTGCGCAACTATTTTTTAGAATGTTCGGAAGTGAGAACTGAGAGCCATGTGAATACGAGACTATGGTGAGCCAACGCGTCTATACCGACGTCAACTGTGTACCACCAATATTAAATTTAATCGAAATTCGCATAGTAATTTCGAGGATGAAATACTGTCACGTCCTTTCCCATTATGCGTCCCTCTTTATGTCCTTCATCAAAGGGCGATTCCGTGTTTTGTTTCACCGTGTTTCGGGACTGAGCCGTATGGCTCCAAAGGGGTAAGCGAAAGAGCACAATCGCAAGCGAAGCTGGGCGCTGCCACGGCGACGTCTACACGCGATAACGGATCAAACATCTAAAGTACTCAACACTTCTTCCTCTCTACTTGAAGACACACTAGCAAGGGGTACCTATGGGCTGGGGCCGTGCCACAATTGAGGCGGTTAGCCTCCGGTTTCCCACAGGGGCGGCCCGGGCTCGAGCCCAGGTCGGGTCACGTGGGATTTGTGATGGACAAAGTGGCACTGGGGCAGGTTTTCTTCGAGTACTTCGGTTTCCCCTGTCACAAATACCATCAGCTATCATCTGGGGCTGGTACGGTAGGCGAGTAGTGGCCACAGTGCCAAATGGACTCAGTATCACCCCACTCGAAAAAACTAAAAAAGGATGAGCTGCAACATATTCCAAAGGCAGTAGAATGCAGTTGTAATTTCCCCTCACGAACGGAAGTAGCGACAGCGGCAGATACCGCAACCACCTGAACGTCAAACTGTCATGATGCTCGCAATGAAATTCAAGGGCGGTTACCTGTATCTGCTGTCCCTGCTGGTTGATGTGCATCTGCTGCGCCTGGTTGATCTGCAGACTCGCTGTACCGGGGCAGGACGGCGGTCTCGGTGGGGTGGAACTGCTAAACTGTCCCACATGCTGAGGGGTTCCTTGGGGCGCCTGGCCCCGGGGTAGGTATTGGGGACTACCGTGGTTTGGCAACGACCCTGGACTACCGTAGGGCGAATACTGCTGTTTGGGGGGGTTGGGGTACCCTGTGCCCATCATGGGATTGCCCGCAGAACCCGTCTGCTTGCTCTGGGGCTGCTGCATTGTCTGACGACCGTTCATCTGGGCAGCACTAAAAACCACCTCCTGCTTCAGTAGCTCCGGCTGCGGGCCGCTACTCACAAAACTGTTCCCTCCGCCCGACCCGGTCACCTGTTTGTTCATGTAGGGTGGTGCTGCCCCCGTGTTGCCCCCAGCGCCAGGTCCGCCGCCCGACGGCGGGAACTGAAACTCTCCATAGGGGGATCTGACGTTCCTGGCGGAGCCAGCCGGATTGAAACTCATTCCCAGCTGCGTCTTGTGTTGGTGTTGCTCCGCCATCTGCTTGAGGGTCTGCGCAGCGGGGCTCAGTTCCGCTAGCCCGGGGGGGTACGGGGCCATGCGCGCCTTAGAGAGCGACTGCGGGTCGTACACGGGCTGGGGCGAGTACTGGGAATTCCCACCCATTAGCGGACTGGAACTACTGTGCTTGACCACAACGTCCATCAGGTGCAGGTCCTTGTTGTCGTCTTCGGCCTTCAACTGTCCACCTGAGCACATACCACTAGCACTGTTAACGTTTGTCAACCCGTCCACTGTCTTATCCTCGAAGTCGAAGTCTCTCATGAACTCCGGGTGGAAGTCCGAGATTTCTGATATGAGATCTTTGAACGCGTCCGACGTAATGATTTCATCGCTCGTATCATCGCCGATGAGGTCCGAGAAGCCAGGGAAACTGGCGCCGTTTGCGGCCGCGTCCTTTTCCAGGGCGGCGGCGCATTGTTCCAAGTCCACGAACTCACTATCGGGCTCCTGTTTGCACTCCACAAGGTTCCCGATGTCCACACAAGCCCCTCCGCCTGCGGAATTCGCCGTGCCACCCGCACTGGCGCGTCCTCCGACCGGCGACTTCGGGGACGCCACATCACTCTTCACAGACGCGTTAGTGAGGGCCTTCACCGTCACGTTGGTGGAGATCTGCTGAGGCTGCGAGTTGGCTGCCGACGTGGTGAACTCCAGCTGCTGCACGATCTCCACAGAGAACTTGGTCAGGTTCTCCTGCTGCTGGCCTCCAGGCCCTGTGCATTGGATCTTGGCGGGGGGCTCGAAGGCATCTGCTGATCCTCCGGGAGGGTCCAGTTCTTCTGCTGTCCGTTTCAGGAACTTCTGCTGCTGAAACGAAAGAGAACATGAGGTGAAGTCTCAACTGCATATTGCTGCTTGGAGTGAGTTCCACAGTTCCTCACAGATGGCTCCAATGTGTCATACAGTTCTTCGCATATGTCTCTATTATGGAGCTATCTATAATTACTGAAACAGCAGCGCACACTTAACGCGATTTCGAAAGCCGCACTGCGATCTAACGTATAACATGAAGTTGGGCCTCGAACTGTGGGTATATGTTTATAAATCGAGTCTGCTGGAGTGGTAGTGACACGTCACACCACCAGTGCTACCAACTGCACGTGTAACGTACTGCGAACTATGTTGACAGCTGCACCAAACTGCGCAATTCTAACACCTAACATTTCAAACGGAAGGCTTAGGATGTGGAACATTCCACAGTTTAACACGTTCACACATCGCATTCCACACGGCAGGTCGAGGCTCTTAAAGGGCGCCAGTGGGGAAACTAAGATAGGAGAACAAGACGATAACCACGTCCGTCTCACAGCATGCTCCATATTACCCTAACACCTAAATTTCAAAACCAACCCAGTACGCTGGCTCAGACGGCATCGCAGGCTGACTTGAACTCGGTAGGCGGCCGAGTCTGATCCTCGGCGGGGGTACTCTTATCCTGACCAAGCGCTTCCGTCACGCCGGGCAAATTCTGGGATATGGCCAAAAATTAGGCAATTGCAGCAGGCAGGAAATACAACATTTTGTTGAGAAAATCTGATGGCCAGACACCAGTTGGAAAAAGCAGGAATAAATACAATATGATATTAAAATGGCTCATAAACAGGACGTGAGGTTATAGACTGGATTCACGTAGCTAAGGATAGTGGCCAGTGTAGTAGAGCGCTTGTGAACATTGTAATGAAACTTCGTCTTCCGTAATGCTGGTGATTTCGATGACACTACTGCACCCAAGTCTTCATAAGAAAGACGAGCCGGCTAATGTTTTCAGTTACTGTTTATTGAGGGAATCATGGGAAACACATAAATACACTGTGAGGAAAATGCAAAACTCTTTTTATGTTCAAGCAGGTGTTACATATATATATATTTTTTTATTGCTAGTGGGGTGGGACTAAGTCCCTTGTAGTGCGGCTACTTCTGGCCTATTGTACCAGCCCCAGATGATAGGTGAGGGTGATTGTGGAGCAATTGGTGGAATGAAGATTGGCAGGGGAAACCGAAGCACTCGGAGAAAACCTGCCCCAGTGCCACTTTGTCCACCACAAATCCCACTTGACAAGACCCGGGAGGTGGTAAATATAACAACCACTGCGCTCTAAACGACTAAACTCCCTCCTCGAACTGTCAGTCCCAATTTTGGCATTTCTCTAGGCAGCAAGAAGTGCCGGCCATCTTCCCACCCCACAACGGCTGGCTCCACCTTGGACAGACCGTACAAGTTGTGCAGCCACGCTGAACAGTATGTGTAAATGACACTAGAGCTGGCCCACGCTGCCGCAACGGTGCAGCAACTGGAGAACAGCTGTTTAGACGTCACTGAGTGCGCGCGCATTCTCCACACTGCTCAGCTGAAACGGACTTTTAACTCTGTGACCCGAACTAAGTGGTCTACCGTTACTGTGGGGAGGTCCTCAGTTCCACCCGCGTCACATAGTTCTTCATTTAAATGAACACCAATAACAACAGGGATCATCACTGCATGAAGAAAAAAAAAACAATTCATTGTACGAAAATAATGCCAAACAGAATTTCATTGCTCTACGAAAATTCAGAACAGAAAACTTCTGTGCATAATAATAATACAGAACAGGGATCTTCACTGCATGAAGATCATTCACAACAAAGATCTTCACTGCAAACACAGAACTAAAATCTAACGACAAAATTATTAATGAGGGGGACAAATAAATGTAACGATTAACTAATTTATTTATGTAGGACCGACCGAGCGAACGTCGCTTGTCGCCGAAGTTAGTTCCAACTTTAGCGCATTGAAGGTGTCGCGTGGTCAGGGCAACGAATCCCCACGGCTGTTATATTTCGGTTTTCTAGACCGGAGCCGCTGTTTCCTTGAAATAGCTCCTCAATTATCCTCTTCAGGCTCAGTGGATCCCGTTCCAGACCCACTACTTCTCAGAAAATCTGGTAGCGCCGGGAATCGAACCCGCACTTCTGGATCTGTAACCAAGAACTCTGACCACTCAGTATAGTTCGCTTACGGGATAAAAACCACGGAGTTCTTTTTCGTTGTTTATATAGGAAGTGTGTGTGTGTGTGTGTGTCACACTCCTACTCCGTCTGCTACAACACACACTACAACAATCCATGGCCGCCAGCGAGCAGACAGGATCCTGTAAAGGTCAAGTTCTGCTCAGATGCATATCGTGGTTTAGGGCAAAGAATGGAGGGAGGGTTGAGCAACTCGTGTCGCAACGGACAGCACACAGTGGCCGTTGCGAAAGTTAGGCCGCAATGCTTGCGACAGCGGAAGAGTTGTGCCGCCCTATGCACACAGTGGCCACTGCACTCAGCCCTCCACGCAATCTTAAGCACACAGAGCGAGTCCGATTGGAGACCTTTCTCCACAGGAAACGCCATCGGGAGATACAGATTAACGCCATCCGCATTTTGTGAGGCGAGCGGGGTTACACTGCGAAGTGTCCGTTTATACTGCTACATAGCATGATACCTGATGAATAGTATGAGATACCCGCGGAGGATGCATCTGTGACCTAGTTTCTTTTTTTAGTTTCGTGAGGTGGGATGAGACTGAGCTCACTTAGTACGCCGGCCAGTACCGGGCTCATTATACCGGCCAAGTGTATGGAGCATTTGGTGGAACAAGAATTGCCAGGAGAAACCAAAGTATTTGGAGAAAACCTGACCCATCGTCACTTTTTCCACCACAAATCCCACACGACTTGATTTGGGATTCAACCCGTGCTGTCGCAGTGGGAAGCCGGTGGCTAACCGCCTGACCTATGGCACGGCCATGTTGTGGTCTAAGATCGAGCAAAATCCCGAAACTTACCTCGAGGGACTTAAGGCAATCCACAAGAAGCCCCTACGTGTCCCGTCCGAGATTCAACTCATGGTACCTTCGGAAAGAAATTCAGAAGCATTGCCGATTGACAGCGGTGGCACTGTGCGCTGTCCACGTTACAGAGGATTGTGCTACATGTCCTGCCAACACCAACTCACTCATCTGATCGCCTCAAGAGTTTCGTGAACAGCTCAGTTTTCTTTCCGCGCCCCCATCTCACTTCCTACCTTCGGGGCCCTCGTTCGAGACGGCATGTCACAGACGGTAACCGACCGACAAATTTCCACAGAACAAGGCAAGAAGGTATGGCATTTCCATCTCATATCTCGACAATTCAACAAGTATCATCATTTGTTGTAGAAGCCTTCGTACTATTAACTTCCCCTGCTTTCTCCCATATCCCTTTCCAGTCCTGCATGTTACCGAGTGATACACCGACGCCGACGTTTAATGCCATTTCCCATGAATAATATACGCAAATACTCAACCGTAAACCGTCTCCTTCGTATATTACACTTTTATAAAAGGCAAAGCTGGCCATGTGCTTCACTAATTACGCTACAGGCCATGAAGGCCCATCCAGTCTCCTAGCCAATGGGTACTGGGGGTAAAGTGGCAGGGGCGTGGAGCCCACGACTCACCTCCTTCTAGTGCCGAGGTCAAGAAAGGTGGAGTTATACCTCCAATCCCCCAAGTCTCCATGACATACTGCTTAATTAATTAAGCACAGGTGCAACTTATATATTCACATCAAAATAATATCAGCACACGCACAAAATAAACAAGATACACTGAAACAAAGCGAGTTCGCGCCTTCAGGACTTGCTACGCACCTTGCGTTCGCTCAACGTGTTAACGCATGACAATTTGTTGCTACGGTAATCTTAAATTTCGCAGTGGTAATGGCAAACATTGCCGGCCACAGTAGCCGCCGAGTGGTCTAAGGCGTGCACTGTCTTCGCTCGCTCGGAAGCCGGGACCGTGGGTTCGCATCTGTTTCCTGTGAGGTAGAAACTGAATTCTTATATATTATTCTTATACACTGCCGGTCACAGTAGCCGAGCGGTCTAAGGCGTGCATTGTCTTCGCTCGCTCGGAAGCCGGGATCGTGGGTTCGGCTCTGTTTCCTGTGAGGTACGAACTGAATTCTTATATATTATTCTTATACACTGCCGGTCACGGTAGCCGAGCGGTCTAAGGCATGCACTGTCTTCGCTCGCTCGGAAGCCGGGATCGTGGGTTCGAATCCCACTCAGGGCATGGATATTTGCGTGCGTTTTTCTGTGTTTGTGTACAGGTAGAGGCCTTGCGACGAGCTGATCACCCGCCCAAGGAGTCCTACCGAATGTCTAAGATCTAGAAAAACCGAAGTGAACGGTGAAGTTCACGGAGGTAGGCCTAGGCCCACTGGGGCTGTAGTGCCAAGGGGGAAATGGCAAACATTAAGCTACATAATTACTTTGTTAACGACGAAGAATTTCTATCACCACCACGGCAAGCGGACGGCCATGTGACGATGGCGAAACCTGCGATGCGCAACAGCAACCACGTTCATTCCTCAAGATTTCAAACTGAGACTGTTCACAAATACGTCCGACTTCTCGGAGTAACGAAAGCGACTGCAGTAGAGCCCACCAAACGAACTGGACGCGTCTCCACCGTTAGACTCGAAGCACACCACAATGTCGAGCACAAAGTTCCCCATGGCGTTCTTTGCACTTCATTAAGCTAACTGCTGGCTCGTTATAAAATCTCATTAACGGTTTGTGACGTCCTGAAATTTTCCATTTATGGTCTAAAAGCACAGCGGACTTGACTATGGATCGATACAGCTGAAAACCTGAATCGCCAACTTGCAACAACAGATGTTAAGGAAACTGTGCGTTTTGGGGTATGACATATGGTCACGAGGACACCCCTACTACGCAGGGTAAGGGTTCTCGAATGTGGGATACCGCGAGCCCCTAAATGAATACACAAATGT